CTTCTAGCACTTTAAAAATATGGAGCCGATGTGAATTTTACTAGACTAGGACCAAGAATAATAAGTTCTACTTTTAACAACATTGTCGAATTTAGCAAAACATATGCTCAATGGCAGTACAACCTATTGAATATCGCATCTCAAAATGGACATCTTGACATTGTCCGTGTTCTCTTCCGGAACAAAGTTAATGCAGTACACAAATCTGCTTGCGGATGAAACTCTTTCCACCTAGCATCAGAATTTGGACATCTTTCAATCGTGAAATATTTCCTCATGAATCATAAAAGTGCATTTTTTAACAGTTTAAACTTTTCTTTGTACCTGGCATCTAGAAATGGACATGGCGATATAGTAAAATTACTACTACATCATGGGGCTGTTGATGCTTGTCTTCCGTGCAAGGGAAAAATGTATTGGACCAAGTTTCATCAAACTCGTTTACAAGCTATAGACAACGAATTTGATTTTAAAACATTCAATTACATTTGTAAGGATGACAAAAGAATGATACGATGCGAGACAGCAATAGAGACAGCAATTCAAAATGGACATACCGAGGTTGTGAAACGCTTGATCGAGCGTGGGACTACAAGTTTACAATGTAGAGAAGCGGGGGTAGAACTCCTCTCCTAACAGCTGTAAGGTTTGACCGGACAGAAATTCTACAATATTTCATATCTCTCAACGTGTCGTTTACCCAGCATTGCATTACTGCATATCAAAAAAGGGATAATTTTGATTTAAGCAATTTAGAGAAAAGAGAATACGACAATAACATGTGTTTGATTAACATGTCTTCTTTTCACATGGTTGCTGAGTTTGGAAGTTCGCAGAACGTACTTATTTTGTACAATAAACATAAAAGTGCCTTCTGGACTGAACGTGATGCATACGGTGCCACAACATTACACTATCTAGCTTGTAGGGGAAGACAGGAACTAAGCAGTCATTTCGAAACAGAATATAATGTACAATCATATAATGGATCAACGCCACTGCATTCTGCAGCCATTTGTAAGCAATATGACCTTCTTTCTGATCTTTTCCAAAGAATTGTTGAACCCCTTTTCGATTATAGGAATCAGACTGTAGTTCATTACTTTGCACGGAGTAAAAGTTTTAAAGGCAAAGATGTAAAGTCCATTAACAATGGTAAAGAAGATTATAAAAAGGTTGTACAAAGAATAGGAAAAGAATTATTTATTCAAGATGATTTAAAGAGAACTATGCACTATGCAGCTATTGATGGAAATGTAAAATTTCTTCAACTTTGTTTGAAATTCCGTTGGAATCAGAATAAATGGGACAAATTGATGAATCTCTCGGACATCAACAATGAAATAATACTGTATTTAGCTTTCAAAAACTTGCCACAAATGATATCTTTTCCAACAACAGTATCAGGTTTAACTTGCTCAGCACCTTTAAGTAACTGCCGAACTAAGAAAATCGCTAAGATGAATCCACATCAATACTTCATTTATCTAATCCTTGAAACATCATTTACAAATGATATCTTCAAATCAAAAATTTCCATATACATTAAGCATTGTCTGCAAAGTGGGAATGTTCCTATTCTTGATGCTCTGTAGACAAAATTTCTACAGTGTGAAGATTGATTGATTGATTGTATATTGTTTAACGTCCCTCTCGAGAATTTTTCACTCATATGGAGACGCCACCACTTGCCAGTGGAGGGCTACAAATTTTGTCCTATGCTCGGCACTCAGGGCCTTTGAGCAGTGAGGGATCTTTTTCGTGCCAGCACCTACTGCGACACGGGGCCTCGGTTTATACGGTCTCATCCGAAGGACCGGTCTCCACGTCCCGCAGTGGGATTCGAACCCGCGACGTAAGGATTGACTCCTTACTTCGCGACTCTAGAGCAGACGCTCTAACCACTGCGCCACGCGGGCGTGAAGATACATGTAGTACTTTTGAATTAAACATGAGTGTGCACGATTCTTTCAATACACTCCCAACCCTGTATTATATAGATCCTGATTATTTTTCTTTTTTCCTGTTATCAGTATTCATAACCTGCAGCTGTGACGATTCCAAATCATTCACATTCCACAAACTGATGAAGGACGCTAATGGATCATTTAGAATTCACTTAAAAAATGTATTACATAAAGACTTGAACTGCAAAAATATGAATTTTTGTTATGATGATGAAGGATTAAATCCACTACACAGGGCAGTAGTAAGTGGCAATTTCATTGCATTTAAATATTTATTGAAAACTGGAATGTCTGTAAATTGCAAAACAAGAGACGGAAGGGACATTTTGCATTTGCTAGTTGAGTACAAACCGTTTAGCTCGGAATATCTAGAAACGATCAAGGCACTGGATTTCTTTAACTCACCAAAGACCAAATGTCTTCTTATCTTGAAATTCTAAAAATAAAAGGATATAAAGACATAGAAGAATATATTGTTAAAAAAACAAACCTTCTAGGGAAAAGAACACCTATGGAATAATGCAACACCAAATCAAGGTCACTCAGCCTTTGTCATCTTGCTGCCGCAAAAGGATTAATGGTTATTTTGGACTCTATAAAAGAAAACTTTGGAGAGCGATCATTTAACTGCGATAATTATCATAACATTCCTACACTTTATCTTTTGAGAATATTTGGTCATTTGTCAGTTGATTCTTTGAAAATGAAATGGAATGATTACTTATCTGAAGTTTCCACAGCATTATACCTGAAGTTGGTATATAATTTAAAAAAAATTGTATATCCAAAAGATTCTGCTCGTTGGAAATGTAAACATAAAATAAATTTCAAAAATACTAATACTTTGCTAAGCTGCGCTGGTAAAGTAGAAGAGGAATTCTTTCAACTTTTATCCCAACTGATCAAGTTGACTGGTACAAAGTCAAAACGGGACTTTACAAAGAAGTGTAAAGCTTGTGAGAATGGCATTTCTAATTCTTCAATATCAAATTTTGAATGTTTCATAAAAGAATTAAATATCTATTGGAAAAATCCAGAATCATATAAATACAAATACCTGGAGGAATATAAAACGTTAGAGATTGCATTTAAGAAATTCAAATGCGAAATAAGAACCAAAACGAATGGTGAAAAATGTCTTTTAATCATATCAATGATAAAGAAATTTATACTTTTGCAAAAAAAGATATATCTAATCAGGAGCGTTGAAATACCATTACTATCAATTTCATTTTTATACGAGCATGAAATTATGAAACCTTTTTCTGGCTTTATTGACACGATACTTGTACCTACAATGAGTAGTTTACTGATAAAAATGTCCATATTGCAGTCAAAGTTACATCTCGGATATCATTCTTCAAAAGAGTTTGCATACTTAGATGTTTTGATGAAACACATGGAAACATCAAAGACTGTAGTTCAAGCTATTCTCAAAAGCCCTATATCTGAAATTCGAAAGTGGAAAGGTACTGAACGAAGCAGACATGTTTTAAATCAATACTTTCACACCAACTCCGATGATGCTCACCCTGGTGACAGACCATTGCATGAATACGAAATTCTTAGAAGTGCAAGAAAGAATTCGATCATCTAAATAATGGTAAAAATGGTCCAATTATCGAATGTAAAAAATATTAAGATTAAAGAAGGATCAACTTTATCTGGACTCGTGAAAAATGATTGAAAGAATTTAAAGGCATGATATACACTGTATCTAAGAGTAGACGAACCAAATGCCCATGTCCGATTTGCGGCTATGCACGAAAGTTTATTGGAAATACCTAGTAGTACATTGTTCAAATTCAGGTATTCAAATGTTTGCAGTATTTGTCAAAATAATAAAAAAAGATGCCAAAATGCCACAAAGTTAACTTTGATTTTCAGCCATAGAATGCCTTTAATGGGTAGGGAATTCTATTCTGTAATCTGCATATTTAATGTTAACATATCTTGTGGAGATATTATTGAATTAATTGTAAAATGTTGCATTGTATATAATGATAATTTCATATAAAGTGGAGCATGTAGTAAAAATAAAAAAATGAATACACGTATTCCAATAGTCATTATTAATCTATTTAACATTTTTTTGACATATAATATCTATAGATGTATCTATAACAGGAAAATTATTTTCAGGAAGTTCTTCTTCACATTCATATTTTAAGATGCTACCATACCTGATAAAATTTGGAATGCATATGAAAATAATTTAAATGCAAAAAGATCAATTTATTTACAGGGTCAATATTATGTACAATCATGAGAATCTAGAAAATCCTCGGAGAACAACAATTTTAACTCACCTGGGCAGAAAGCTCAAGTGCGCTTTTCTGATCACCCGGTAACCGGCGTCCGTCTTTCTGTCCGTCTATAACTTTTTCATATTTTCAACTACTTCGCAAGAACATGAACCATACTTACCATCTGCAAACATTCTACACAAAAAATGGCATATCTCGACCTCATTATTCTTTTAGTTTAATCAGCAACAAAGTTCAACTTTATTGACTAAAAAAAGTTTCTGATGGCTATGCTTTTGCTTTGGTGAATACCAGGGCGAGTATTCTCATAAGTTGTGTTTTAATCGCACAGACTTCTAAAATTACGTGCTAGAAAACCCAAACTATTTTGTAATGTTTGTGTTATGAAAAAAGTATGATGCGACACAAAACAAAAGATTGTTCTAAATTAATTATGTCAATTTCATATTTGACATCAATATCTTTTCAACACATCAATCTTTGGACGAAATGAGAAGAATGTATCAGTTAAACTTTATGCTGGGTAATTTTGCTAAAACCCATCAACTTGCTATCATTTGATATTTAGTTAAAATTCGTTTTAGCAGCATTTGATGGCACTGAGATTTTTAACTGAAAATATCTTTGGAATTATTAAAATTAGAAAAGGTACAATGAACCTTCACTGTAATATCCATTGCAAATGATTCATATTTAAATGAAATAAGGATTGACTCCTAAGTCATCGGTGGACTCGCTTGGTCCCGCTACAATGGTGAACTCTTAGGAAGAATTCAGAGACAATGAGGATGATGACATGGAGGAGGAGGAGGAGGAGGAGGAAGGCAGTGAGGAAGAGGAGGACATGGAAGATGATGATGATGATGATGATGGTGATGATGATGAGATACAGATAGATGCCAGTGTGATAAAATGAGATTTTTAAAATGTATGAGCCTGCATTAGTGCTCTTGTAGTCTGGCAAAAATGTGTTTTTTGATAATTCTCATCATTAATCAAAAATGGCATAATACAGTAAACTTACATACACGTATATGTGAATTCCTGTTTTTGATGCATAAATTTAAAAAGCAAAAGGATCATTTTATAATTTTAAAAATAACAGTTAAATGCATGATAAGAATTAAAAGTTATATTTTCCTAGTTGTGCAAGTTTCATTTAAAATTTTCATCAGTGTTGCCAACAGAATAGGAAAAAAAATCAGTGTCATGAATTGCGTGGTCAAAAACGTTTTGTGGGCTAAACGTTTATGTTTTATCTCTTTAAAAACTGTCAATTTTTCAAATTCCTTGTCTCTCTAAAATCTCTTTTCAGTAATAATCCTAAGGTACGTATAGACCTTTCCATGAAGCTTTTAGATATCACAAGTTTTTTTTATAATTAAGAAGAAATAAAAATTCCTATTGGATAGATAAAGCAAAGGATCAACCTTTTTATAAATTCACTTCTTTTTATTTAAAATGTAGTTGATGGGGACGTTAAAAGAGTGATGTACATAAGTACGTAGTGTAAATGAAAACATCTGGTGACGGAGAAAAGACAAAAAAATATTATTTCCATAGCAAGAGCATTTCGTGAATAAAAAGGAATGTATAATTAAACGTTGTGTGCGCATATTCATTTTCCTAGTGATATTCCCTTTCTGCCTCTCCTTTTGTTTAAATCTATGTCAGATTATTGAAATTAAAATGATCTTTTCCTTCATACCAGACAAAAACCTTCATCATAAAGTTTTTAAAATGTTATGGGTTCATAAATACTACAAAATGTGCATGTCTATTTTCAAGCCTCAAGCCCCCCCCCCCCCCCCTCTCGAGACAGTGAAGTTGATATGCAAGATATAAAATTCACATTTAATAGTGATCACCCGCATGGTGCAGTGGTAAGAGATTCTACTTTAAAGTCGCGGAGAAAGGGGTTGATCATTACGTCACAGGGTCGAATCCCACTATTGGTAGTGCAGTCCAGTCCTTAGGATGAGACTGTGTAAAGCGAAGACCCTAGTCCCAGTTAATGTTGGCATGAAAAAGATCCTCTAATGGCTTTGAGTGCCAAGTATAGGGCAACATTTGCAAGTCTCCTCTGGCAAACGGTGGCGTCTCCAAATGAGAAGGACCTTAAACAATTCTTAATTTTCTTAAGTATTAAGGATAAAGTTTTTTTTAGGTGCAAGGATGATTCAATTAAACACGGGAAATCATAGTTTCAATAATTAACATAAAAAATAAGTTTTTATTATATTGTTTATTATGTATCCCATAGCAATATATAAACCATGGTTTTGTACACAAACTTTAGAAAATATTAACTTCAAATCTATGTCTAAGCACTGTCTTCCCACACATTTTTATAAGAATAGAAAATTTGATGTTATGACTTTTTGAATAATCACAAAACCCAAAATTTTTTTATTTTGATATAAATGTATGGAGGACAGCACCTTTAAATGGACGTTTCTTAAGAAAATGATTCGAAACATGCTCTGATTTTTGATTTTGTTTAGTTTCGTTCTATTTTGTAAGAAAGTTGCTGAACGAATATAACATTTTTCACTGAATATAAAATATGTATAATATCAAACCTTTTAAATTAGTTACAGTACATTTTTCAAAATTTCGGACAAAAATTATTTTGATATCAAAAATGAAATTGACATAATTAATTTATAACAAGCTTTAGCTTTGTGTCGCATAATATACTTTCTTATAACATAGACATGATAAATTAGCGTGTTTTTTCTAGTGCCTAATTGTGGAATACCGTGCGACTTAATACCTGAACACAGGTTGTAATGAGATAATCACGCATATTTACTCCAGAACAAAAGTCATCGCCAGCAAAAACTTGCATTGCATGGATTAAATTGGAATTCGTTACTTATTAAATTTATAGAATGATGAAGTCTTTGTGGCAGCTGAGATATGCCATTTTTCTTTGTGGTACATGTATGTTTGCAAATGGTAAGTTTCTTGTGAGAGTTTGGTGCGGAAACTACTAGCTAAGTCTTAGACTCATGATACAAGAATTACTTGTAACATTTTTCTCAATTATTTTAAAATGAATGCTCAAGAAAGTCCTACATTAATTCTTATTTAATTTGAGAAAGCGGTCATTTAGGAAAAAACTAAGCTGTTAGAAGAGACTCGGTGTAACCCATTTTATCTCTCCGAATATTTAAATGTTAATACATGTATAATTAATGTGTTGCGTTTAAATTTTAAGTTGCTGTTCATAATGCAAATACAAGTATTTATATCACAAAAATTCATTTTAAAAACATTGGACTTCTTTTGATAGATTGATTATTTGATTCGAGAATATTCCTATTCCATACTCATATAGAAACATATAGAAACATCGCCATATACCAGTCAAAGGCTTTAAATTTAGATTTGAGCTAGGCATTCAGTGCCAACAAGCAGTGATAGTTCCTTTATGGTGCTAATGCCTATTTGGTCCTGGATTTTTTAAGGTCTCGACCGAAAGATCTGTGACTTTCACATTTAACAGTTCCGGGCACTTGGTAAAGAAATTGAACATTTACATTTGACGGAGTAAGACTAAGTCTGATTGAATTCGAGCCTTTTAATTAAGAAGTGAACGCCCTATAACTAGGTTACCATTGACCTTTATAATTTAGACTAAAGAAAGTCTCTTTTTAATTATGTGTATCAATAAAGAAAGAAAGAAACATGAAGATGACCTCTTTGCAATGCCTGGGTATTGAGTCAATGCGTTGCCGTTTGAACCTGTCATATTTCATTCAATATTACTGGGCTGACTGAAGCGACGTCTTTCGAAAAGGTGTTGATTGTTTTTCTTATGTCTTAACAATTCACAATAATCCAGTTTATGATAAACAACTTGTAACACTTACAATTGATGTGTCAACTGACTTCTTTTTATTCACATTATCTACCTGATTGTAAAAGCATTAATTTGATTAATTTGGTGGTTGTCAATGAGAAATGCAAGCCTAAAATATGTAAAATATGTAATAAAATATGCCAAGGGTCCAACGCCAACGTGTTGACTCAGGACATCGGCCTGGCATTGCTTTGATGGAAGACGACATTCTTTTGACTTTTATTTTATTTATTTAATATATATTTATTGCAGCAAGACCAAAAGTTGCATTCACGGCAACGTTGACAAGGGTTACTCACCTCGCCTACCATCAAGCTGTTAAATATGATAGAGTCCTGTCCAACATAGGAAGAGCTTATCATCCCTGGACTGGACACTTCACTGTCCCAATGGATGGTGTCTACCTTATTTCGTGCACTGCAATGAGTGAAACTAATATGGCTGCATATGTACAGATAATAAAAAATCGACAGGTTATGTCAACATTACATTCTTCTGCTGGAACATACCCTCAGAGTTCCCAAACGCTTGTTTTGAGATTGAGGAAAAATGACCGCGTGTGGGTTAGGGGAATGTTTCACAATCAAATATTGAACGACAATAGTTCTTACAACGTTTTTACAGGGGTATTACTGAATTAAGATGTCTTGTTAAACAACGATAAAATAAATGAATATAAAAAAACGTTTTCTTTTTGTTTTGTTTTTTCAGATACGCAAACATGTACTAATAAAATAGATACAAATGTTTCCGATATATTTGAACTGTTTTGAATATTTTTATGTACAAGCAACTCTAAGGTTTCATTCATTTTAAGGCATTGTTTACAAACTCCATAATATAATAGGGAGATCTTTTAATCGGTTTAATTCTCGCCTATTTCGCCCCTGACACAACTAGCCGATTTTAAAACCAGACAAAATCAAAGAAAAAGTATATTTTCAAAACAGATCATTGACTGAGTGACTTTAAATGAGGTAGTGTGAAAGGAAAATGGGGCAAATATACAGTTTACTACAAAATGTTGCAGCAATGCAAAAGAAAGTTGCAGCACAATTAATTTCACTGTAAATTTAAAGTCGAGAGATCTGTGACTCTCACTTTCTTTAAGCTGATATGAAATATGTAAGGAATAACAATTTAATTTTCTAACTTCGTGATTTAATCAATCGAGTGGCTTGTTTGATTATTTGCATAACGTTTATGCATAAAATTATCACGCAAGCCAATCAATTGATCATCATCATGAAATCAAAAAAAATCTGACAGTTACTTCTTATATATCTACATGCTTTTAATTCCGCAAATCCACGTGCTACAAACCCCGCTTTAATCTGTCTCTATTTGTCCCGCATCGCACGTATTGTTTTTAACCGCGCCTATCTATGAACCAGTTATTTATTTAGAAATAAAGTACATTTATTCAACTATTGTAATTTTATCTCGGATAAAGCTATTGGGAATGTAAATATATGGAGATAGCGAACAGTATTCAAGCTCAAAAGTCCATTAAACAATACAAAATAGGAGCAGGACAAACACTGACCTCTAAAACATCAGAGGTGGGATAAGGGGCCATCATCCTCACAACGTCAGGGGTCCTGAGTCAACACGTTGCCGTTGGACCCCTGACTTATTTCATTCGAAATCTGTGGGTTGACTACAGCGACGTCTTTCGGGGAAATTACAATCTCTCGACCAATCAAATTAAGCCTAACACATTACCTTTCGGTAAGACAGCCAATATGGCCGATATAGAAGTTGTAAACAGAATTTGTCAGAAATTCAATCTGAAGTCACTTACAGATCAACAAATTTCGGCGATCGATGCCCTGAAGAAAGGAAACGACACATTTGTTGGGACAAAGACGGGGAGTGGGAAATCTCTGGTCTACGAAAGCTCGCCGGTTGTTTTGGGAGAGAATGGTGTTACAACTGTGCTTGCTCCGCTGAACAGTATTATGTCTGAACAAATAGAGAGCCTGAACAGGCTTGGATATAGAGCTGTGCAAGTATCGAATGACACTGATAAGCAAGCTGTTATGAACGGATATTTTCAGTTCGTGTTTGGAAGCCCCGAACTTCTCGTCGGTGATGACAAATGGAGAGAAGTTTTGAGAAATCCAATCTTCACATCAAAACACCAATTGATTGTGGTCGATGAGGCCCACACCGTAATTCAATGGTAATTTAATAAGAATACATCAACCATTTGAATATAGAATAATTGCATCACCTTGAAATTGCCCCTTTTTAACAATGCATGTTTTAAAACTTCCTCACATGTCAAATGATGTTTCTTTAATTTAATTTAGTTTTCCAGGAAATCGATTATTAATTTATTAAAATTGAAGGTTTGTGTATACTTTTAGGGGGCTAGAGCATCAACAAGAAGGGCCATTTCGAGAGTGGTTTGCTCACATAGGAGAGATGCGATCACTTTGCATTGGGGTACCTATACTGGCGCTCACCGCGACAGCTAGCCCCACACACAGACGCCAAATTATTTGTTTTCGTCATCCATCCTGTGTAATTCTAGACAGTCCAGATAGATCAAACATTAAATTGAATGTACTGAAAGTGAAAAATAATGTAGAATTAGAAAATGTATTTCAGTGGTTAACAGCTGCATTAGTTGAGAATGGGCAAGAATTACAGAGGCATCTAATATTTTGTAACTCAATTAAAGACTGTGCTATGATTTATATGCTGTTCTTAAAAATCTGTGGGCCTACAAATCATTTTAACATGTATCACAGTAAAACAACTGATGCCACTAAAGAAAAAATCCGTAAAGACATGAATGAAGCGAATGGTAGTATAAAAGTGTTAATATGTACAAATGCAGCAGGGCTGGGAGTGAATTTCCAAAACTTAAATAACATTGTTCATTATGGTCCACCCAGAGACCTTGACAATTTGGTGCAGCAGATGGGCCGTGCCGGCAGGGATGAATCCCCATCAAATGAACTGATTATCTACAAGGCAAATCAATTACAAAAGGTGGATGATGATGTGATTAAGCTTCTTAAAAGTACTAGTACCTGTAGGCGAAAAATTCTAAATGAAGCTTACATGAAGAAACACACAAGAGATTGTGATCACCTCTGTTGTGACATCTGTGAATTAATGTGCAAATGTCAAAGTGATGGTTGCCCGTCAAAGCATTCTGCAAAGGAAACATTTTTGAATTTGAGAGATGAAGATAATGAACTAGACATGAGAAGAGAAATAGGAGGAGAAGAGAAAGCCGTTGTTCAACAAAGACTTCAGTCATTGAAGGACGACATATTTGAAGGAACCAAATCTTTCATTCACAGTGACATTGTTTGTGGGTTTTCTGTTCAAGAAATCATAGCAAAGTTACCTTTTTTATTTACTGTAAATGATATACTAGATAAAACAAGTGTTGATTCTTTCTCATTAGCCAGCAAGATAATCCAAATAATTACAGAAATATTCAATGACAATGAAATGTATGCATTAGAGGAGATTGACTCTGATTAATAAATATTAAAAAAAACAAAAACATAGGTAATCTGTTATTAGTTATTCATTGTCCTTTTTTATTTGGTTCATTCATGATCATTTTATTTATTTCTATACATTTTCAAAATATTTGGGATTCATTTCACATAGTCTAATTTATAGAGCTTAGATCATTTAATTCTCTGTTTTATTTTCATTTTTTAGCACAATCTGGCTGGATGAATTAAATTATACTATTAAGAAATTTGTTATTTTGGGAACTTATTTTAAACAAGGAAAATAATTGTTTTCCAGTGTAATGAAACTGGATAAAAATAATAATCCAGTGCTAAGTCTTTGTTGAGATACTGGTAATATTGCAAGACTCTGAAAACTCTTTTAATACAATGAAATTTTTTTTCAATAAATAGTTAAGCTACGAAAGGTTAACTAAAATCATCGATATTCACAGGTAGTAATTATAATATATGATCAATTTCACAAATTTTCATTTAAATGTTGAAAGTAGATTTAGATACAGTTTACTTTAGGTCTAACATAAAAAATATGTTTTTAGGCCATTCAAAGTTTTTCCTATGTTGTCAGTCAAAGGATTTGATTTCAAATTTTTTTTTCTTGTAGAAAGACCTTAACTTTAGCAAAATTAAGGTATTTAATGCTTAAAATATACCTAATATGACATATTGTAGACAAATCATTACAGAAAATGGCCAAATTCAAAGAAGTCAACCAGAATAATCGATTTTGGTTCTTTCGATTTTGTTTGTTTTTTCTGATATTGGGTGTCAAAAACCTAGGCGGCCATGCTAATCATAGAAATAACTTGGAATGGCATTACCTGACTGATCCATACTTTAGGAACAAACTTTATTTTTAAAGAAAATACTTCTATACTTTTTATGTCAATAAAACTTTAATACTAATAATAGGTACATATGAAGAAAGCCAAAATGCAACTTTCACTTTTGGAAATCTGCTGGTCATATTGTGTACCACTATGGCAAGCAAAAATATTAAAACATGGCAATGAAATAGCTTTCAAATACATGTATATATAAATTAAAAATGATCAGTATATTTGACCATTGATTTATATGTGTATTTTTGTCAATTTTCTTTAAACAGTAATTCGTAGAATCCTATCTCTGTTTTCTTTCCAATTAACAGTAAACATATTTTTTCTCCTTCCTTCCCACCTTAATCATGTTAATTGATGAAAAAAAAAGAATGAAGTTTAATTGATATTTTAATCATGAACATGACAAATCACACAAAAACACATCAAACTGTTACTGTTCATAACTTGCTCTTTCTTTTTGTTTTGTTATCCATTTGTGAAGTTGAACCACATTAACACGAGAAAAAATGTCCTGAAAACTTTTAAAAGCACTGAATTCCCTCCCAGGAATGTAACTGAAAATGTCATTAGCTTTAAGTTCCATAATGATCAGTTGAAGATCTTTTTTCTTATCCACAGTAGGTTTGGATTGACCTGAGGTTTTCATGCCAAGCTGTTTCTGAACACTGGACTTTATTTCTTCCTGCATTTGCACACACGAGGCAATCTTCTTAGCACTTTCATAAGTTAGATTTGCACCCTGCTGTCTCGTTTTCTTCTTTATAACATGTACGCATATTTCAACGAGATTGTCATTAGGGATATTTTTCCCAGTCCCTCCATGAATATTTGAGGAACAATTCCACTTGTACTCAAATGCCTCACGTGGTGATAGGAGAGAACACTCGTAGGCTAAGAGTCTCCAAAGACACAGTTTATATTTGGAATGATTAGCAATATCAGCACACATCATTTCAAACTTTGCATTTCTAAATATACGTGTTCCATCACCAAATTTGAAAGCATCCTCTGTGTCCCTAAGTAATAATGCAAGTTTCATAAATGATGAACGCCACAGAGCTATGTGGTCTTGCTTTGATGTTGCTGATTCGGGAGTTTCCTCTTCTGTTGTATGAAACACCCAGTTGTGTTCATTTTGCAGATGTCTCTTGAAGTGACCTTTTGTCTTGTACTTTCGGTTACAGGTGCAAACATACTGCTTTGATTCATCTTGATACATTTCACTCATCAAAAGCTCCTTGTTGTCCATTTCTGCAGCTTGTGCTGTGACAGTTGGCAAACTATCTGCAAATTAAATTTTTACTGTGTTTTAGGTCACATACATGATATCTCACCTTGCCAAACAGAACAAAAATTACTATTACAGCACAACACATTTGACTGAGCCAAATATATTAGGATCCTGACCCCTCCTCCTGAACATGACAAAAGTATCCAACAACTTCATTGTGGATAAGTATAATCTGAATTATGAATTATGGCTTTAATCTGACAATTACATGTAGGTATTATATGATGCAGATGTAAAAGTCATATTACATTTACAGATACACAGATGCAGATAGAATGTGAACCCAAATAAGTCATCTTCTAAATACCTTCTTCAATGTAGACAAAAGTGTCCAAGATCTGGAAACAAAGCTCTTTTATCCAATCATACTGGTCTTCTTTACTTTGAAGATGTAATAATTCTGGAAGAATGGTCCTTTTAGGTTTTTCATCAAGGCTCTTGATGTCCAACACCTCCATACAGGCTGTGAGGAGAAAGGCATCTAAACAGTCCCTGATGAATGTCATGTGAGACCTGTTGGAGTAAAAATGTGATTCTGAGTATCATTTTAGTAATCATCTTTGAGCTATATTTAATTCATATAGAACATGTAGGTTACTCTGTCTACAGATCTGTGTATTAAAGTGTAGAAATATTTTAATAGACCTCTGATGATCCATCCAAATTTTTCAGACCACTGACCTACAGCTGTGAAGCATATACTACTCTCCCAGAACTCCCAATAAACTAAAATTTAAATTTAAATTACTATTAAATTAAACTCTGGCTAATATTATTAAATTCATTTTTTTTTATTTTGGCTTTTACTGTGATTTGGTATTTATTAATAGTTGTGAAATCCAAATTAAAAGACAAATAACTGCATAATAAAATTAGTAAAAATACAATCAAATGCATGCTTAATTAGTAAAAATGTAATCAAATGCATGATTAAATTTATAGAAATATAATCAACATTTCATATGAAAATGGAAAGGGGGGGGGGGGGAGAATGAAAGAATAAAAGGACCTTCACCAATGTCTGAAAAACATTGCAGTAACAAAACTACTAAAACTTACTAAAATAAAGCATCCAATATGAAATTCAATATAGAAAATGCAAACATCAATAACATCTTGAACAGGGAATAATTGTTTTACTGGATACCAAGAGTAAATTCATGATCCGATGGAGACCCTCTGGCCTATGAACAATTCCTGTAAGGCGACTAAAATCACTTTCATTGTTTATCATAGCCATCTGGCTAGAGTATGCCCGTTCATTGGTGAGGACATCCCCACCAAATACAATTTTCTCTACAATATCTTCACCAGAATGTGGGACATAATGTTTATGCACATGTTCAAGAATTGAAATCATGTCATCAGACTTATTTTCACTTTTATCGAGTAGGTATACAATGTTATACACTGATTTTTCAGACAGCTCTTTCAAATACGGATGGTCAATATATTTGGGGACACATTGTGCAAATGGCTGCAGACAGTCAATGTTCTTAGTAACAACTAATACAATATGATAGATCATATTGATGTGGAAACTTTCACAGTCTTCCCTGCTAGGTAAAAACTCACTATTAGGTACCTTCAAAATATCTGCTTTAGGCTTATCACTAGGTAAATCATCTGCCAACACTCTTCTTTGAACTGCCACATTTAGAAACCAATGGAGGCTTTTCCTCTGTTTATCTTTAGTCATGTTTGTTGGTGATATACGAGGGCTGTTTAATAAATAATGTCCTCAGTGCTCAGAAAGAAGCAAAAGACGCTTTTCAATGATTTGGTCTCCATGATTTTACTAATTAACCTCTTTTAAGTAAAAAACATGTCCGTAATATATTTTGTCCAATTCCTGATTGTTTTTAGAACTCATTTTTGGGTATGACCCTTAGTATACTGGAAAATGGCAGATCCAATGATTTCCCGGACTTGTTTCTTCCCTCTGAAAGGTGTTTTTTTCAAGTTTGGAAATAGAAACAAGTCAAAAAGTCAAAGATATGGCGAATATTGTTAATGTAAAAAAAAAACATTAACTTTCTTTTTATCCCGAAAACCCCTTTACTCTTTAGGGTATGCGGGTTTGGACGCTGTCTTGAAGAAATTCAAAGTAGTGGCTTCCTGATTCTGGGTTCTTCCTCTAATAAATCTTCTGATTTTTTTGCAAAAAAATTGCTTTCTAGACTCTTCCAGAAATTAAACTGTCTCTCTGAATACGAATTTGAACAACAATACAACTAATTTTTAAGAAAATTACATATAAATCTGTCTTTGTGCTCTTTATTACATGTGTTCTTGTCAGACATTCGCCGTTTTTATCAAGTACATCTTACGGTAAATTTTGTTTTGAGGGTTTTAATCAATAGATTCATGTTCCAATATCTGTTTGAAAATAAAACAAATGTGGATAACTAAAATTACTGATATTTTAAAATAATTGTTAAGAATTTCGTATACACTGTCGTTTTCACTCATTTTTCAAAATATAGGGTGACCTTTGAGTACCAAGCTTTTTTACCGTCAAACGTTTCTTAAAAACAGTGAAAACTACTCCCGATATGATGTCTATCAAATTTGCTATGCGTCTTAAAGTCAATCGTACATCATCAAATATTATTTGTTGAAATTTGGCAACCAATACATAAGTTGTTAAAATTTTTGTTGGCAAGGAGGGTACCCATTTTTAATGACCATTATATAATTTTTTATCATTGAAATCCACCTGCTCTTTTGTGTATAAAACAGGCATTGGTTGCTGTTAATGTCATATATTTCAGTGAATATTTCTTTGGGATTTTTAACAAGTTTTACGGCAGCTATAATGAAGCTTTTATTTTCACTCTAGTTTACTGATTCATTACCATTCATTCAAAATGCAGTGTCTCGAAAACCCCTTGTTTCCCAGTTTCTCAAGATGAAACTATGAGATGAAAAGTGTTCACATAAACTGTTATAAATTCATGAAAGATTCAATAATGAGAGAAAGTCAAGTTTAATGTCATATGATATCTGTAATGTATGTTATATAGTTCAGGACAATATTTATTGAACAGCCCTCGTAGTGTGGTCTAAGTTGTCTCCAATGATTTCAAACCTTGGTATAGTGGGTGACATCTGATTAGCATTTCTTGTTATAAAGTCTTTCAAAATCATGCTACTTCTATCATGCTTGGCAATTACATTGACCGGTTCTTCTAACTGAAAATGCTTCAGTGGTCTTGATGGTAAACTTGGAAACTCTATACTGCCAAGTTTGGTGTTCAAAGTCAGTGATTTCACCTCTGTGGTTGGATTACGTAATACATGTACCTGCGCTGACTCGGGTAAAGTGTTTTGGCTTTAGACATCGATAAACATTTTCTTTCTCATCTCATAATCATTGCTTGATATTGTCAAGCAAGAATGCTCAGATGGGCTCGTAAAGGACTGATTTGTTTGGGATGTCTTAAAGGAATTGACGAAATCAAAATACTGAATATCAGATGTACCTGATTCTGTTTTTTATGCCGGCTCTGGTTCATACTCCAAAATGGATTTTTCTGCACTCTTGCTTAATGATATGCAATGCTTCAAAACAGTCTGATCAATCTGTTTCTGGAAAATATCATTTAGCTTCTCTTTATATATTAGGACAAGTTTTCCTCTCTTAATTGAGACTTACTGTGGCCCAATGGACAATCCCATTTCCGAAAGAGTTTGAATAGTCTGAAATAAGAGAGAGACTTACTTTCAAGGGAAAATTTCATATTCAATTCACTTGAAATATCATTTTTTTTAAAATCAACTTTCATTACATATAGATGCTTGGTGTAGTATTTCTCTAAATTGCATGACTGTTTTAATGTATTTTTAATCGGGTAAAAAAAAAATACCTCATCTGTTGCACCTCCATGATCTAGAATCTGCCCAATGATGTGATGTAGTTGTGACATGTGCTTATTTCTGTTCCAAAGCAAAACTGATGCAGCAACAGATAATCGGCAATCATTTTTCTTCTTGGTAACTGTTTGAAGTACATCATACAGCATTGGTGCTTTCTCTTTCAGCTCTTCACATACACTCTTAAACTTAAAGTGGACTTCATCGTTACTACGCAAAACGGAGGGGTGTGATATTTTGCATAAATCTTGGCATTGAGTGTTCAGTTCAGACAGCATCAACTTAATCATTTCTGTCTTAAGAACCTCTATTTTGTAAATTTTTTTGGAGATGATCTCTGCTTTATTGCCTCTTACCAGGGATTTTAATACTGCCACCCAAGGACTGTCTTTAATAAAGCGTGTCCTTACTTTTGAATCATTTTTTCCTCTAAAATGCACCTACAAGAAATAATAAAATTAACTGTTGCAATTTTTTCGTTTACTATGTTTACGTTAAATCTTACTGCTAATCTAAACATGTGTAACAGGAGAAAAATGTGACAGATCAGACCAGGATTTGAACCTTGAATCTCCGGTCAGATGCTCTACCGAGCTATCTGGCCAATGGCCATGGAACCTGTCTGCCACAAGTTACAAAAATTAAAAAGATTTATGTACAATATCAAGATGCACATTGTGTGATAAATTTGCCTTAAAACTGTATATACATATGTTTCTTGGGAATATTTTATTCTTTATTTATAAGACCAAATCATCAATTGAAAAATTTAAAAATGTTTACATTGAAGGGAAATATTTTTATTTCCTATTTGTACAAAAATAGAATATGTACCTTTACTTTGCTTGGTGTCAGCTGATCGTCTGCTAGTCTTTTCCTTACTGTTTTTTTTAATATTTTGCTGTGCATCTCGAAAGACTTTCTTATTTTTGCGTGGTGTTGGAGTCCTTAAGATGACACGTTTTGTTAACTTCCTTGGAGTTTGGATGGAACTAGAGGCACCGCCAAAATTGACCGAGGGGACTTTCTTTGCTGGAGACAATAAAACATTCCGACTTGGTCTAAGTTCATTGATAATGTCACATTTTTCTCTTTTAAGGACTGATAATTTGTTTTCTAATTCATATTCAATCTTGCATAGCTTATTCAGTTTGTTAAAACACCTGTAGCAAGTGTATTGGGGCGATGAATGCGTTCGCTGTTCGGGTACAAAACCCAATACCTCATTAAACTGTTTCTTTACAAAAAACGTGTCACTGTAAATATTTCTTCTGTTCTTTTTCGGTAATTTTTCCAAACACAAAATACAATCATCCATGCTTGTGCACCATATTTGTTTACGTCTTATGTAAGCGGCAATTTGATTGGTGCTTCTCAATGAGGGAAGCAAGCCCACAGATTTCGAATGAAATAAGTCAGGGGTCCAACGGCAACGTGTTGACTCAGGACTCCTGACGTTGTGAGGATGAGGGGCCATATGAAGCTGCGTAACTACAATGTGTAAATATGATTGATCCCTTGCAGGCCTTCCGATCACGAAATGAACACCATACCACTAGGTTTCCGTTGACCTCAACAATGATGAATAAGGAACGTCAGTTTAAATTCACAATTAAAAAACAGAAAGGACCAGAAGTCTCTGTCGAGACTGTAGCTTTACTGGTTTGTACTTATAACACAGGGAGGAAAAAGTAGCTGTTGGAAATTAAAACAGCAATAAATAGAACAATGATAGTTGATTAAATCTCTTTTTGTGCCAAGACTTCAATAAGACTACAACTGAAGGAGTAGCTTTAAATAAATTTTATAGTATTTTAAATTTTACATGTAGCTACTGTGGCAACATCATTCATCAAAATCGAAAACCAAAAATGACAATTATGTATCTATGTGTACTTGCATGCCACATTATATTTAATCAGACCAAAACTGCAGGAGGAGTAGCATTTTGAAAGTTTTCACAAATATCTATTTTTATTAACCATGGTTACATCGTTAAACAAAATCAAAAACTGATATTTGGGATTATATATCTTAGTGTAGTCTACTTGTGTGCCAAGTTATATTGAAATCAGACCAACGCTGTAAGAGGAGTAGCATTTTGAAAATATTACACAGGAAATGTTACTTTTACTAACAACGGTAACATCGTGCATCGAAATCAAAACTTTATATACAGATTTATGTATCTTAGTGTATTCTTCTTGTGTGCCTAATTATATTGAAATCAGACCAAAACCGTAAGAAGAGTAGCATTTTGAAAAAAAATGTTTAGAGACAGACAGACAGTTAGACAGACGGACACACAGATAGCTAGACAGACGACGTACATATTACTATCGCATTATCTCTTCTGTTCTCTGACCAGTAAAGCTAAAAATTGTTACATTATCTTGATAATTGTGTTATAAGAGTTATTGTCCTTTGATTGATTGATTTTACATACACTGTTGTTTGAGTATGCGCAGGGCGCCACTTGTGATTTCCGATATACGGAATACAGAGTCAGAAAACGTGCTCGTTGTCTTGTCGTCATTTCACTGGATCTTTGCATACAGAAAACATAACATGGTGTCAGAATTTACAGAAGTCTCGTAAAAATGGATCTTAAAGGCATACCTACGCCATGTATGGATTGGACATCGACTAATTTGGTCGATAGCTGGAAAAAATTCCAGCAGCACGTGCAACTGATATTTGATGGCCCCTTGAAAGAGAAAGATGAGACTGTTAAGATAAGTTATTTACTTATTTGGGTAGGCGACAAAGGTCGCGATGTGTATAATACGTGGACTCTGTCGAACGACGATAAGAAAAAGCTCGACACTTACTACAAGCGTTTTAAGGCGTACGTGCAGCCTAAGATCAACCCTGTATTTAGCAGATTCAAGTTCAATAACGAGGTTCAAGGTCAGCAGTCGATTGAGCAGTTTTTCACCAGACTCCGTTTGTTAGCTAAAGACTGTCAGTATCACGATGCAGACGAGATGATCCGTGATAGGATTGTGTTTGGGACAAATTCCGCCAAGATTCGCGAAAAGCTTATCAATGAAGGTGACAAGCTTACTCTGGATAAAGCCATCCAAATCGCCCAGAACCACGAATACTCACAGGAGCAGCTTAAGTCGATGGGTACCACGTCACAGGAAGTTCACGCGGTTACATCTAGACTACCGCCAGGAAATCGTGATTCCCACAAGACTTCCAAAACTGGCCATAGCACCAGTCAACCTGAACCGAGACGGTATAGTGATGCAACCCCAAGCCATGCGTCCAGTAAACCTGTATGTCCGAACTGTGGATACAAACATACTAAAAAGGAGAAGTGCCCTGCGTACGGGAAAACCTGCAAGCTTTGCAATAAATGGAACCATTTCGCAAAGGTTTGCCGTAGCAAGAAAGTTCATGAAGTCCGTGAGCCGCATGCAACTGGAGCAGAATATCCTTTATACAGTCACAGCTCTAATGACAATTTTACTGATTTGTTTGTTGATTGTATCAGTGTAGTTCATGCTCTTAACAAATCTGATGGGTTATATGAACAAAATCAAGCATTTACTTATGTCACAATAGGTCCAAATAATGTACCAGTCAAATGTAAGCTTGACACTGGCTCACAAGTTAACGTTATACCAGTATCTATCTATAAACAGCTAGGTGTTGCTGATCAGTTGAGTCTGTCGTCTGATTTGTCTGGTTATGCTGGGTCACCAGTTAAGACACTGGGTTCTTGTAAAGTAGCTGTTAAGGTTGGGGACAAGATATTTCACACACAGTTTCATGTTGTTGACCCTGACAGTAGACATGCCCCACCTATCCTCGGACTTGCATCATGTATGAATATGGGACTTGTTAGGTTTGTTAATTCCTTGACAGTTAAGTCGACTTTAACAGACCCCATTTCAGACAGTGTACTAAACAGAGAGACTGTTTTGACACAGTTTAGGGATATCTTTGAAGGGTTAGGGTTATTCCCAGGGGAATGTACTATCCATATAGATCCCGATGCTATACCTGCTGTCCACCCCCCTCGTAGAATACCACAGGCTTTGGGTGACAGGGTAAAAACTGAGTTAGACCGGATGGAGAAGTTACAGGTCATTGCTAAGGTCGACACCCCCACACACTAGGTAAACTCCATGGTTGTTGTCGAGAAGCCATCTGGAGCTTTACGAATCTGCCTTGACCCCAGGGATCTAAACAAGGTCATTCATCGACCCCATTACCCCTTGAAAACTCTCAATGACATTTTACCTGAGTTATCTGGTGCACGTTATTTCACCAAGCTTGATGCACGCTCAGGTTATTGGACTATTAAGCTTGATGACGACTCGAGCTATCTTACTACTTTCAATACCCCCTATGGTAGGTATCGCTTCCTCAGATTACCCTTTGGCCTGAAATCTGCGCAGGATGAATTTCAGCGCAAAATTGACTACTGTTATGCAGGTCTCAAAGGTGTTGTTGCTATAGTCGATGACATTCTTGTCTACGGGAAGACCCGTGCTGAGCACGATAGCAATTTGAAAGCCGCTCTTCAGCGCACAAGCGAAATGGGCATTAAGCTCAATGATGAGAAGCTCGATGTAGGTCAGACACAAGTCGAGTACTTTGGTCACTTACTTTCTGCAGATGGCGTCAAGCCGGACCCTAAAAAGGTCTCAGCTGTCAAAGACATGAAACCACCGGAAAATCGTAATGAACTCGAGACAGTACTGGGTATGGTAAACTACCTATCCAAATTTGCACCAAACTTGGCTGATACTACTAGCCCCATGCGACAATTGTTGTCAAAAAGGTCTGAATTTGTTTGGGGCCCAGCCCAAGAAGAGTCTTTTGCTAAGGTCAAGGACATAATCACAAGGTCACCAGGCCCAGTATTGGCCTATTTTGATCCTTGCAAAGATACTGTATTGCAAGTCGACGCCTCCAAATTTGGTCTTGGAGCTACTCTCTTACAAGAAGGCAAGCCTGTGTCTTATGCCTCGAAATCACTTACCCCATCAGAAATTAACTACGCACAAATTGAAAAGGAAATGTTAGCTATTCTGTTTGGGTGTAAGCATTTTCATCATTATGTTTATGGGCGTGAGGTGTGCGTCCAAACAGACCACAAGCCATTAGTGTCTATTATGCAGAAGTCTATACTTACTGCCCCTGCCCGCTTTCAGCGCATGATTCTGCAATTGCAGAGATACAACATTAAGCTTGTTCATGTTCCAGGAAAACAGATTCCTGTAGCAGCTACACTTTCTAGGAAGTACTTACCTCACACAATGCCAAAGCTCTCCAAGGGCATTGAGGCTCAGGTACATTTGGTTCATGAAAATGTTCAGGTCAGTGACCGTCGTCTAGAACAGATTAGGTTGTCTACAGAATCAGACCCCCAGTTTCAAACCTTAACCAAATTTATTTTGGAAGGTTGGCCAGACTTGCGCAGAGATTGCCCAGACCCCATTAAGGAATACTGGAACTTCCGCGATGAATTGTCAGTAGAGAATGGGCTCATTATGAAGGGTCTAAGAATAGTAATTCTCTATGACCTCAGGACAGAGCTCTTAAAAATATTACATGTGGGTCACACTGGTGTTGAGAAAACCATGAGACGAGCCCGTGACATAGTTTTCTGACCAGGACTTACGAAGGACATTACGGACCTAATACTGAACTGTAATGTTTGTTTAGAATTTAGGAATTCCAACCCTAAGGAACCTTTGCAATCTCATGAAATTCCTTCATACCCCTGGCAGACAATTGCCTCAGATCTCTTCCTATGGGATGACAAGGACTATGTTCTGTTTGTTGACTACTATAGTAGGTATTTTGAAGTTTTCAGGCTAACCAATACACATAGTTCCACTATCATCTCAAAGTGCAAAGAAGTCTTTGCAAGGTATGGTATACCTGAAAATTTTGTTTCGGACAATGGTCCACAGTATTCCAGTTATGAATTTGCTGATTTTTCCAAAGAGTGGAACTTTCAGCATGTCACTTCAAGCCCTAGGTACCCTAGATCTAACGGTCTTGCTGAAAGGACAGTACAAACCATTAAGGGCATTCTTACTAAGTGTAAGGCTGACCGACAAGACCTTCTGACATACAGGACTACTCCTTTAGACATAGGACTTTCCCCATCACAACTGTTAATGTCCAGAAGACTTAGGTCAAACATCCCTATTGTTCTGGAAAGCCTTAAGCCCTTTTATCATGACACAGATAAGATTAGGGTAAAGCTACAAGTCAGTCATGACAAGTCAAAGGTCTACAATGATAGATCAGCTCGACCACTTAAGCCTCTCAACTCTGGTGATTCAGTTAGGGTTCAGCTGAATGATAAAAAATGGACCCCAGCCATTATAATGCAACCACATGG